AGCTAGGAGAATCTGCCCATCGTAAAGGAGGACGGCCTTGCGGCCGTTTCTTCTCGCGGGATACCATCGCACAGTAGCCGAACTCCATCGTCGTCATCTCTCCTCATCAGGTGTCCGGCGAATCTGTGCTTCGCTTCATCGACGTGAAGAAGAACATCTTTTGCTTGTGACATGGCTCTGACGTCGGAATTATGAAGTTCAGCTCTCGTTGGCGACTGAACGACAGACCAGAAGACGGCGCTCAATTGATGTCTCGGTGGATATTGATCGCCTTTCCATAGATTTCGTTTGTGCCCAGGTTTCTCCTGCATAGCTGAGGTCACGCAGTTGAGCCGAAGAAGTCCGGCCGAAATTTGCGGCTCTTGGTGTCCTTTATTACGCTTCTTATGAAGTTAAATGCAGCCCATCCATCTTTGCGACGTCTTGCTAGCTCTCCAGCCAGGTCGTTCTTCATGTTAAGCTTGCTCCCGAGGTAAACATGCTCGCCAACATCTTCAATAAGAGTTCTTTCCCGAAGTACGAAGAATGGATTTCGCATCACTTCGAGACCCTAGAAGCTCTCTTCCTCATCCAGACGATGCAGCTTTTTTCAGAAGCGTGTTCTGGAGAGTCCGTTATCAACACGATGTCGTCGGCAAATCGCAAATGATTGAGACGCACACCGTCGATGTTGACGCCAAAGTTGCTCCAGTCGCAGCGACGTATGACGTGCTCTAGGCAAGCGGAAAACAGATTTGGACGATATTGGATCATCTTGCCGTACGTCGTTCTGATTTGCTACTGTAGAAAGGATGGAACACTGTTGTGCAATCGGAGTGACATTCTCGCATCATATTCACGTAGATCCTTTCAATACCTTGCTCTTCCCAGCGCCTCCAGACCTTTCCGGCTCCACCGAAGTCGAATGCCTTCTTGTAATCAATGAAGGTCATCACGAGAGGAAGGCGGTGCTCACGGCTGCTTCGATGAGGCGTCGGCAAGTTACGATGTGGTCCAGAGTGCTGAATTTTCGACGAAAACCCGCTTGCTCTACCGGCTGGGCTTCTTCTAGTGGTCTGCGGATACGTGCCAGTATACAGCGTGTGAACACCTTATAAAGGTACTGGCAGAAGCGTGATAGGGACGATAATTCGCTAGATCTTCTTTGTCGCCTTTCTTGAACAGCAGCACCGTCGAGGACTGCTTCCACGCCGTTGGAAGGCACATTCGGCCACATAGCGAGTGTACCTCGTTGCAAGTGCTCGATACAAAGGGGTGTAGGAACTTTACTGCAATTCCGTCTTCCCCCGACGCTTTGCCTTGAGGCGTTGTTTCTATCGCATGGCACACCTCCGATAATATTATAGAGAAACAGCGATTCGTTTAGTACTAATCTTCTTTTCCTAGCGGCTGGAAGCACCGATCTAAACAGTGCAGAGTAGGAGCTTGCCACGATTTCCTCCATTTCAGGTATAGAGCAGCAACGAGTTCCATTTGCGGTTTTCAAACATGGAATCTTGAGACGATGCTCGGCAATTTTCCTTTTTGCCCTCTTCAAACTTCGCCTGTTCTCTGCCTCAACTAGAAGTTTCGACCTTGCGAAATTGGCGTGATCTTCAGCAATGCGTTGCCTACATAATCTATTTAGCAAGGATGTACTCCTACGTGACTTTTTTGCGGATTCATATTTTTTCGTTTTTCGAGCAGAGCACGGCTACACGCAGATATGCGACGCGAACTGCTATTGGAAGCAACACTGCGGCAGCTCTCTGCGATTGCCGTTACAGTGTGAACGAGGTTCTGGTAGTTAGCGGTGATGTCACCCACCACTTCAGACAGCTCTTGGTTTGTAGGCCTCGCGGCCATCTTCGTACATTGCTGGGCGTATGCGCATAGGATGCATCAAAGCGTGGTCGAGGTGGAATCGCCCGAAGGCCAATCGCAGAAAACGACGCAGGAAGAAGGAGCAACCGCAACATCCGTCATGATCCTTTCGACTGCACAAAATGTGGTCAATTTCGTGGCAGTGCTGTCTATTTCTAGTCCACCTTTTCCGTAGTGCCTTGAGGAATTGACTATTGCTCGTGGTAGAGGTGATGCGACTCACAAAAACTCGCCAATCTTTCTCCAGGTTCGTTGCGCTCTTCAGCGGAATGCGGTCCGATAAAGATTTCGCCGACCTTTCGGAGATCCAGTTCGAGCGTTGAAGTCTATGGCGCAGCAACGTTGGCAGCTCACAAGCTCCTCGAGTTGTTCATAGAAGATGTCATGCTGCTCTTCATCGCTGTCTGCTGTAGGAGCGTAAGCCTGTATGATGGTAACTTGCGAATCTTTTGAAAGGCACACAGTTAATGTGGCTAGTCGGTACACGAGGAAGGTTACGCTCCATACATGCTTGGAGAATGTTTGGTGACACAATGAAACCAACACCTCCTGATGTTGAATCCATCTTGCGAGCTCCTAGTTTCTATAATATTATCGGAGGTGTGCCATGCGATAGAAACAACGCCTCAAGGCAAAGCGTCGGGGGAAGACGGAATTGCAGTAAAGTTCCTACACCCCTTTGTATCGAGCACTTGCAACGAGGTACACTCGCTATGTGGCCGAATGTGCCTTCCAACGACGTGGAAGCAATTTTCGACGGTGCTGCTATTCAAGAAAGGCGACAAAGAAGATCTAGCGAATTGTCGCCCTATCACGCTTAGCCAGGACCTTTATAAGGTGTTCCACACGCTGTATACTGGTACGTATCCGCAGACCACTAGAAGAAGCCCAGCCAGTAGGACAAGCCGGTTTTGTCGTAAAATCAGCGCTCACTCTGGACCACATTGTAACTTGCCGACGTCTCATCGAAGCATTTCGTGAGCACCGCCTTCCTTTCGTGATGACCTTCATTGATTACAAGAAGGCATTCGACTCGGTGGAGCCGGAAAGGTCTGGAGCGCTGGGAGAGCAAGGTATTGAAAGGATCTACGTGAATATGATGCGAGAATGTCACTCCGATTGCACAACAGTGTTCCATCCTTTCTACAGTAGCAAATCAGAACGACGTACGGCAAGATGATCCAATATCGTCAAATCTGTTTTCCGCTTGCCTAGAGCACGAATACGCCCCCCCCCCCCCCCCCCCCCCCCCCCCCCCCCCCCCCCCCCCCCCCCCCCCCCCCCCCCCCCCCCCCCCCCCCCCCCCCCCCCCCCCCCCCCCCCCCCCCCCCCCCCCCCCCCCCCCCCCCCCCCCCCCCCCCCCCCCCCCCCCCCCCCCCCCCCCCCCCTTTGGGTCAAACCATCGACTCGGCAACCTTCTCACGC